CATCAAGATAACTTTTTCATGATATAATTCTCACATTTTGGGCTCAAAACTGTTGCTGCTGGCTATTAAAAATAACTTTTAAAATATCATCTCAAACTACAGTGAGATACTTCAGATCTACCAGGATGGCTGGAATAAAAGTCAGTAAATAATAAATGTTGGCAAAAACGTGGAGAAACTGCAACATATAGCATTGCTGGTGGGAATGTAAGATGGGACAGCTAGCCTGGAAAGCAGCCTGGTAGTTCCTCTAACAATTAAACCCAGAGTTACCACAGAACCCAGCCATTCCACTCGGTATTCAGTCAGCCCTCCGAGTCCATGGATTCTACATTTGCGGATTCAACCAACCACAGATCAAATATATTAAAAAAAAAAAAAAGCCCAATAAAAAATAATACAAAAAAATTCAACACAGTATAGCTATTTACATAGCTTTTCCATTGTATCGGTTATTATAAATAATCTAGAAACGATTAAAAGTATACAGGAGGATGTGCGTAGGTTATATGCAAATGCTACACAATTTCATGTAAGGGATTTGAGCATTTGTGGATTTGGGTATCCTTGGAGGTCCTAGACCCAATTCCCCTAGGATACAGAGGGATGACTGTATAGTGTATACCCAAAAGAAACAAAAACATACATTCACAGAAAAACTTGTATGTTAATCTTTATAGCAGCATTACTCATAATAGCCAAAAGGTGGAAACAATCCAAACGCCCATCAACTGAGGAATGGATAAACAAAATGTGGTATATCCATGTAATGAAGTATTTAGCCACGAAGAAGAATGAAGTCATGATATATGCTACAACAAGCATGAATCTTTGAAACACATACGAAGTGAAAGAGCCAGTCACAAAAGACTATATATGATCCCGTTCATAAAAATGTCCAGAACAGGGAGATCTACAGAGACAGAAAGTAGATTACTATTTGCTTAGAGCTGAGGGGGAGGGAGATGGAGGATGGGAGAGGACAACTGAAGGATGTGGGGTAGATTTCTGAGGTGATCGAATGGCCTAAGACGGACTACGGTGATAGTTGCATGTTTCTGTGAATGTTAAAAACCATGACTTGTACACTCTGAATGGGTGAACTGTATGGTCTGTGCATTACACCTATATAAAGCTGCTAAAAAATTTCAGCTCAACTTTACTTTCTAATACTATTAAACACCGAACAGGAAAGAACAGACCGTAGCTTCTAGCTTCAAGCCATCCTGGCATACGGGCGGCGAGGATAAACATGCATGAGCTACCTACAAGGTCTAGGAAGCAGGAGCTGGGACAAAACACTCCCCCGCACCCAATCAGCTCCACCAGCTTCTGTGTCAGCAGTTTTTGCTTTAGAATCACTTGCCGTAATACCAAAACAGTTTTAGTGAAAAAATAAGTAATAAAATAAAAAATAAAAAGATAGAATTAAATCACCATTCTTGTGGCAGTCTGCCTTGACAGAAAACGAATTTTCATCTGTACGCTCTGGGAGATGGGAGAGATGAATAAAACTGGGGATGTGCATAACTTAGTTTCCTGAAGAAAATACAAGGAGGATAGCCAGGGCTTACCTACTGCAGGCACACAGGAAACAATTAACCACAGACTCTGCACAGACAGACAGACACAGGCACCAACATGGAGGTCTCTAGGCCACGTTGGTCTGTATTTTCACCAAAGCAAAAAATAAGCATTTTAAAAACAACTAAATGTCAAATTTTTCCCTGTGTTGAAAAGGTTCCTTAAATATAAATTTTCAATAACAACTAGAGGGTTCCGCACAATGCCAGGTTTCATAACCACACGAACACAGAACTGGTGTTTTCCAAGTATAACATTAGCATATTTCACTGGAAATACACCACTGCTTAAGAATTAAGTAAAAAAAAAAAAAATCAAGCAGCAGACAGTAAGACAGGTGCATATGGCCAAAAAACCCCAAAACAAAACAAAATTGAATCCCTGAGGTTAGAAAATACTGCTATAGAGGGAAAAATTCAAAATGCTTTTAAAGAAAGCTCGCTAATCAAATTTAATTTGTGATTTAATTCATTCCACACGTATTTATTGAGCAAGGCATTGTTCCAAACACTGGAGATACAGAAGTAGATACAAGGAAGCCCCTGGCCTCCCAGAACTTGCATTCCAGAAGGGCAGCCACAGGCAAGCACTGGGACCCAGTGTCTTCACTGGGACAAACCCGCCCAGGCTGGGGTATACCCACTGCCCTGTAGCCAAAAGTCTGACCCACCTTACAGGTACAACAGCAGAAACCACCTGACCACAGTCTCTGTCTCCTGGTTCAAATATAAAAAGGGGGCAGGAAGAGAGAATGTGAATGAGACCAGTGGATGAGTGACCGCAGGACGGGGGGCCCAAGTCAGCACCAGCCTGATCCACAGAGCCCACAGCAGACAGTGAGGAGAAAGGAGCAGGGCAAACCTGCCTCTGCAAGGGCAGGGGAGCCACCTTCCCGAGCAGGGGGCTCTGCTCCCTCAGGGCAGGCCCCAAACACCAGCCCAGCCCGATGACACCTGAACCCAGAGTGCCACAGATAGTCTTATTTCCAGAGGCTGCACCCTGCTCCACCGGCAATAGCTGTCAGGGCAGACAACAAAATATGGCCACTAATTCCTTGCCACTCCGCCATCAAGGTGATTCTGTTTCTCCACTCCTCAAGTCAGGGCTAGCCTGGTAGCTTGCTTTGATCAACAGAACAGGGAGAACATTTCCAGGACCACTAGAATGAGGCCAACTGGGCTCAAGGGAGGATGAGATTCTGCACAGAGAGAGGATCCACCTGGTGCCCAGATGTGTGGGTAAGGCCATCCCTGACCCCCCAGTCCCTCCTAGACCGCCCAGCAGAACCTCCAAACAAATACACAGACCTGTGGGAATTATTAAACATTTGTTTTTTTAAGCTACTAAATTTGGGGCGGGTGATTTGTTACTTAGCAAAACTAACTGATGCAGATGTGGAGGATAGGACACTTGGAAGTAGAATACAACAACTTATAATACAATATATTGAATTTTAACTCCCCCTAAAAGGTGTGTATCCATGGGTAACACAACATAAAAAGTACCTCCTCCAACTCAGGATACGCAATAGCATATTTTTTTCAAATGAAATTCTTTAACTTACGGTAATTCCGACAGGGTTACCAAATACCAAACATGGTAATTATATTTGATGAACAGAAACAATCTCAACTTATTAAAACTCTGATAAGCTTTAAAAATTTTGAAACTTTCACAAACTAGTATCTCTTGTTTCCTTAGTTACAAAATGACCCATATACTCAGTAAACGTGAATTTTTAAGACAAGGATTACATCTTATTTATGAGTCAACAATAAATGTGTGCTGTTTTTCTTCTGGGTTCTAGTTTTAATTGATAAAGACCATTAAGCTGGACAGAAAAAGAACTCTAAAAGTAAACCCTAAAGAGTGTAATTCTTTTACATTTCTTTTCCTTTTTAAATTTTGAACCTGTTACATGCCTAGACTACAGCAAATGCATTTATTGTAGGGTGGCTACGTGGTGGCAATTCCTCCAAACATTTGACTAGGACAGAGTTGGGAGTCCCGTCACATTTCCAGACCTGCAACCTGTTTCCTGCGGAAGAGCCACCAAGAGCTGGAGAGAGGAGCAACTGCTAGTTCTCCAGGGTTCAAAGGTGGCTCAGCTTCAGACCCTCCTGCAATAGGAATGACTTGGCAAGTTGGACAGACAGGTCCTACCAGTTTTAGTTACCACTGCCCTGATGAAAAATTCCACTTCCTCCTCAGATAAGACCTTAAGAAAAGCATGCAGGGTCCCCTTGAGTTCTAACGTCACTCACACTTGCCATCAAACAGCACTCAAGCACAGAGACCACCCTGTCCAGAACGCTGCTCCCTTCAACCCCACCCTGGCCTCCAGCCCACCAAGCTCCCTCCCTTCCCCTCTCCTGTGCAGTGCATTTTGCAATGAGGGGCACCCGGAGCCTAGAGGAGGTTTCCATCACAGTGTTGCCCACTTCTCAATAATCTTTTTATTTCCTGTGCAGCATCTTGACTCCTCAACAGAAATTCCCAAGCACAAATAAACCTCCTGCTAGAGTTTAAGTTTATTCTCTCGTCCTTACTTTTTGACATTAAGAGCAAGAAAATCTTCTAAAGATGTTACTTTAAACCAATAAAAAAATTAGAAAAAAGAAAATGTATTTATGTATTACATATAAGAATAAATAATTTTTAAAAAGAACATTCATTCCTTTCTTGTAGAAATAAGCCAGGAAAACCAAAGAAAGAAAAACAACATTCATTCTAATACCATTTAGAGATCCAGAAAAAATGTTTTCTAATATATCATGTGGGTCTAAAAAGTAAGCATCATTACTTCAATATTGATATATACACATATATTTCTACTATATCCAGTTATTTTTGCCAACATCAGTGCAATCTACTATTAGGAAATGTTCAAAATAAAAACTGTATTATTGTTACCTACAGAAGTAAGTTGCGTGCCGTCACTGTACAACACCTGCTGCACGCCAGGCTCTCTGTGTGGCGTTTGCTGAACCCTCACCTCAGCCACCCTGAGGAGGGACTGTGATCACCCCCACACTTCAGACAAGGAAGCTGACACACACAGAGGCTAAGCGGTGCCCCTTCATCCAGGCAGCCAGGCACCCAGGTGGCCACGCGGGGAAGGTCAGGCAGGCCACCTGCCTCCAGTCTGTGCTCCCTAGCAGTCCTCTAATTCAGCCTCTCGTAGAGTGGAAAGACTGAATTGTATCAGAATTTTAAATGAAAGACAGGAAATACCACTTTTCAAACTAAAAGGAGAAACTCAGATTCTCTGTTTCCAGGGATTTTGTTCTTACCAAAACCACTCTTGGTCAACTGGATAAACAGGCAAAGTCTAACCAGCAAAATGGAATTTGGTACATGATACTTCACCTTTAGAAAATATAAGGAAATATGCCTCCAAAAACCATGCTTCTTACCTCAATGTCAAAGACTTCCACGGTGTTGTCCAGCAGCTTCACTCTGATGTGCAGGTGCTTCTCCTGCGCTCTGGGAGAGAGGGCCTGCCCAGGCTCCAGGGTGCTGACTCCGGCGGGGCTCTGGGCACCCAGGCGTGTCCCTGTGGTCTGCAGGACTCGGTAAGTCCCTTCTATTTCCCCCATTCTTCACCAGCCAACAGCGAAACACTAAAACGAGAAAAAAACCATGGACGAATTATCACATAATGTAGACAGTAAAACCATGTAAGAAAAAGAATTATCAGGTACAAAAGAACCCTCTGTACTACTTTTCCAACTTCTGCGAGTCTTAAATTACCTCAAAATAAACATTTAAAAAAGACTGTCTTCTGCTCACACACTCTTTGGTAGAACATAAAACAAGCACCACAGTATTTCCGGGTGCTCTGTGAACCACGCATTGAACCCGCAAGACCTCACAGACAAGTGACAGTATCACCACTCACCTGGCAGAGGCAAGAGGGCCAAGGGCTGCTGCCCAGTCCCCGGCACATCTCCCTCCACCACCCCCAGAGACATCGCACTGACGGTCCTTTTTAAGCACTGGACAGTGCCGTTTTCGGCACAGGTTCACCAGCTCCACGCCGCACAGCCTCAGCGCGCTTCGGGGAACGCACAGCAAGGTCTGAAGCATCCACGCAATCGCGCACCTCTGCTGACCATATGCAGAATAGAAGGCTACTTAGCGTGGGGAAAAATGCCAAGAAAAGTAGATGAAGATGGCCAGGACTGGCTTTGCCAGCTTGATAATCCCTGGTTTTTCTAATCTGTGTCTCACCAGGTGGAGTGGATGCTACTGCTAGTGCAGAAGGTGGTTTCAGGTATGGCACTGAATGACAGCCCGGATGAGGGTAAGGAGGCACCTGCTGTCCTCATCCACACAATAGCCCCTATCACCACCCACAGCCCACCCAACAGACAACACTATTGGGGGTCCCAGAGGGTGAAACACCTTGCCCGGGGGGAACCCACATCCTTTTCAATCCTCCTTGTGGTGCCAAGGGAAAGGTCTTTGTTTGCAAGCTATTAAGTCTAACAGGACTACTCTCTTCATTTTTGTAAAGCACTGTGAATTTTATTTTTTAACATTCAAGTTGGGTATTTTTTTTAAAATAAATTTTCTTGTATATATTTGAGGTTTGCAACAAGATGTTATGGGATACATATAGACAGTAAATGTCTCCTCATTGTTTTTAATAAAGCAAGAGAAGCCTAAGAATCAGCTAGAATCTAATACTACTGGCTTGTTTTTAATTGTATTTATAATACAATTACCTATTATTGATGGCACTTTTCCTTCTTAAATGTCTTATTTATGTTTGAAAGTCAATTAAAAAATATTTAACAGTGAAACATAGTATGGCAAAAGATATTGCAAAACTGGCGGAGGTGAGACCCAAATGCTGATGTTTAACAACAAAGAACTCGGGGCACTGCTGCAAACATCCTGTCTCATAGAATCACCCTCAGAGGCTTCCACTATTGTGTGATAAACTTTTTAAGAATTAACCTGGCTGGGCCTGATGGTTCACGCCTAGAACCTCAGCACTTTGGGAAGCCTAGGCAGGAGGGTTGCTTGAGCCCAGGAGTTGCAGAACCTGTCTTAAAAAAACAAAAGCAAAACAAACAAACAAAAATTAGCCAGGTGTGGTGGTGTGCACCTATAGTCCTACAGGTCTACAGAGTCCTGCTCAGGAGGCTGAGGGAGGAGGATTACTTGAGCTCAGAAGTTAAGATCATGCTACTACACTCCAGCCTGGGCAACATGCAAGACCCTGTCTCTAGGGAAAAATAAAAAAAGAGAATCTCTAGATTAATCTCTAAATTCCTAGACCATTCTCTTCCATGTCAACTTAGTTGCTCTAAGTCTCCTGGCCCTTTCTTCTTCTTCATGCTTATTTTGTTATCAAGACAAATCAAGACAAGAACCTTTTATCTCTTGAATTAATTTCAAATATCTTCTCGGCGACTTACTGCCAAGCACCTCCTACTATACGCTTAAACCCTACCCCACAAAGACAACAATTCCAAGCCATGTGGGTGAGAATTTCCACGTCCAATTTATCAAATGAGAAGGCAGAAAACAAGGAAGATAAAATCCCTGGAAAAGCGCAGCGTGAGCAGTATTAGAGAAATGAGGAGGTAGTGCACTGCTCTGCTCCGTGTATCTCCCGGCCAATTCCCGAAAGAAGCCAGTTCAAACGCTAAGGAACGGACCAGCTCCTCTCACTGGCACGTCTGTTGCCCTTGAGGCTGAGGTTGGCCATCACCCATTATCTGCACAAGTCTGTCCCCATGCTGTACGCTCCTTGAGGGCAGAAATTGAATCCTTACTGTAAATGCTTGCTAAGTTTACTTAAAGTCAGTGGCATCAACACCACTGTCTCATCACGCAATGTATCATACAGACGACAATAACAGAAGACTATGAGCACAAACAACGTCACCTTATAAAAGTACTGTTTTCACAACACTAACATTAAACATGAGATATATGAAGTTGTCAGAACCATAAATATGGGCATTTTCATTTCAATTCCACACATTTTAATCTTTAATTTTTATGAGTATGTAATAGTTGCATATGTTTACGAGGTACATGTGATATTTTGATATAAGCATACAATGTGTAAGATCAAATCAGAGTACCTGGTATATCCATGACCTCAAACATTTATCATTTCTTTGCATTGAGAACATTCCAAATCCAGCACTTTAGTTATTTTGAAATATACAATAAATTATTGTTAACTACAGTCGCCCTACTGTGCTACCTGAACACTAGATCTTATTCCTTCTACCTAACTGTACTTTTGTGCCCATTAACCAACCTCTCTACCAGTCACCCAACTACCCTTCCCGGCTTCCGACAACCATCATTCCACTCTCTGCCTCCATGAGAATATGTGATATTCGTCTTTCTACAAACTTTTATTTATTGAGTAGTTAATGCTAAAGTTAGGGCACGTGAATGAAGAAGACTTCCATCTTTAAGGTACCTTCACTGTGAACACAGGTGAGAATACAAATAAATGATCTACGAGTTCTTAGTCCACAACATTTACCAAATATTGAGGCACCAAGAGTGGGTTCTTTTCAAACAAGGTAGAGGATGTTTTACCTTGGTTGCCAAAGTTATTTTTTTCCTTAAGTAAGGCTATAATTCTGAAAACATACATATATATAACCAAAATATATTTTTAGAAGTCACTTCTCTTATTTGTTCTACTGTGTAATTCTCATTTTTTCCTTGATAATTTTATATAGAAAAATTTCTTCAGGTTCTTTCTCTTCTACTCATTATAAGAAAGTCATGTGTAAGCACATACCTCTAAAAAATTAAACAAGGTTAACCTATAGTGCCTAGAGGGACACATTCCGGTGGCAAAACTATAAAAAGAAAATGCAAGGAAGTTATTACTAGAAAAGTCAGGATAATGGTCCCTCTTGGTGGGACAGAGGGGCTGTCACTGGGATGGGGAATGGGAAGGGACTCCTCGGGTTGCCAACACAGTTCTATTTCTTGACCAGGACAGTGTCCACTTCATAATCCATGAAGCCGTACATTTGTGCAGTTTATATTTGTGTTTACTTTATAATAAAAATATATTTAAAACAGCATACTTTTATTTAACATTGCTTCATCTCTCCTGAGAACGAAAGACATATTAGACAAACAGAAAACATTTTTCTTGGCTCAAGGAATACCAAAACTCTCTTCTAAAACATGTGGCTAAGAGGAAATCTTTGCAGGTTTGCACACCTTCAGAGCAGCAACTGACACTCTAATTTCTACCTAGTCCAAAGTAAGACATTAACATGGCTAAAGCTGAGATGCAGGCCCACGAGATACACTTGTTCCTGAAGTTGGTGTGAAGACAAATTCACTTGAGGAATCCCTGTGGTACCCTGTTGCTGATTAAAAAAAAAAAAAAAATCTGTTTGCTGTTATACAACAGTAATGTGGCAGAAATCATGCATTTAATAATTACTTAGCTTTAAGACTAGGTTTAGAATAAGACTTAAGTTTAAGACTTTAAAACTAAGTTTATTACTAAGTTTACAAAAGCTTAAAAAGACCTTAATAGAAAACTGATAGGTAAGCCCAAGGCTGTGAGTGTCGGTTAACCTTGGTCTCGGTCTATCAATTTATTTCGGGATCAGCAGCATAATTGGACACTTCCTATAGAAACAGCAGGCTGCTCATTCAACATCAGTTGCTACAGCCTGACAACGGGAAAAAATGAAAGGAAAAATTTATGCACTGAATCTGTTTTACATAAATTATGACTAACAAAAATTACCTTTGTTTTGCTTTGTGTGCTTACAAATAAATATTAAAGAGGCAAGAATACCCAAGCTAGACCAGAAACACAGCAGGGCTACCAGCAGTGTGCCAAGTGTTCTGCAGTCCTGGGAGGCTGACGTCAGTCCCTGCCCACGTCTCCACTCCCGCCAGAGACGCTGCACGGAAACCCAGAGGAAAGTGGCCGTGTAAAGACCCAGGGATCTGTGGGGAACTCAGGGTTACTTTTCCATCTCCTTTCCACATGAATGAAATGCTTTGCAGTCCTCATTCGTAAAAATATTTCTGGAGGCTGGATACAATTTCCACTGCTGACATTTAGTACTGCCTACTGCAAACTCAGCTCCTATGGATATATTCTCATTTAATAGTAATAAAAACCCTGTGACACATCATTTCCATTTTAAAGTTGGAAAATTTAGCTCAAAAGTCTGCCAAGCATTTGGGTGATAATGACATGGGATGGTGTGCACATGTGGGGCAGAGGATATGCAGGAAATCTCTTTACCTTCTGTTCAATTTTGCTGTGAACTTAAAACTGCCCTAAAAAATAAAATCTATTAAAAAAAAAAAAAGGCCTGCCAAAGAACACATAACTCAGACGTGACAGAGATTAGAGTTGGGCCCGAAACTGGCCACCACGACTCTTCCCCTTCTGCTGGAAAATCGGCACGCGGCTCCTTGGACAACCATGCTCTACCACAGACTGTCCACCTCCTACTGTCTACCGTCAACAGTAAAGGGAATTCGCTGAAGTTTCTAATTTGTGTTATGCAAAAAAAATTACCTTCCTTAAGATATCTTTGGTTGTCTTTTTTAGGAGAATCAATCAAATGAACAAAAGCCCTCCTGTACTGACCAA